GACACTGCCCCCGCCTGCAGTCGCCTTTCCGACCCAGCGGGGGTCAGCGGGCAACACACGGACGTGGTGAGCATGACCCCCCCCCCTCCACCCTCCCTTTTAACTTCCCCATTGTGGTAGATGCTAACTCTTTTGGTGGGTAGACTCTTCTTTGGCAAGACTAAGCTCACCCTCCGCGCGCTCGGCTCCACGCCCGAAGAAGCCCAAGCTGACGGGATTCATCTCCTCGCACCGTATCTTACTGGGTCAGTCGGTTTGATTTTTACCAATCGTACCCCTGAAGAGATCAAGTCTTATTTTGAGAGCTTGACCCAAGTCGATTTCGCGCGGGCGGGGAGCGTGGCGACGAGGGATTTTGTGATTCCGAAGGGGTTGGTGTATTCCACTGGGGGGGAGGTGCCCAAGGAGCATGACGTCCCTGTCGCGCACACGCTCGAGCCGGAGCTGAGGCGGTTGGGGGTGCCGTGCCGGATGGTGAAGGGGAAGGTTTGCTTGGGGGTTGATGAGGAGGGGAATGGGTTCCAGGAGGAGGGGTATACTGTCTGTAAAGAGGGGGAGGTGCTGGATAGTCGGCAGACGAGGTTGTTGAAGCTGTTTAGTGTTTGTATGGCGGAGTTCAAGGTTGAGCTGTTGGCGGTTTGGAAGGCGGCTGGGGGGGAGGTGGAGGTTATGGAGGGGGCGAGGGAGTATATTGAGAGGAAGAGGGAGGAGGCGAAGAGTGCGGGGAAGAAGAAGAAGGGTTCTTCGGGTGCTGGGGATGTTGTGATGGGGGGTGAGGATGATGAGGAGGAGGAGGAGGATAGCGAGTAAACTGGATCGGTTGGGGTTGGGAATGTTTGGTTTCTATTTTTCTCATATAAGGGAAAGGTTTCGTGATGATACCAGAGCTTTTTACGTTTTTCCACAACGAGGGGCGATCGGTTTTTTTAGGACCTCTTTGTTTTTTTGTTTGGTTTTTTTAGTTTTGGCGTTTGGGAAGAAAAATGGAAAAATGGGAATTAATTTTCAGCATGTTGTTGGTCTGCTGTGAGTGTCCGGTGTTGGTGTTTGGTTTCGTCTGGCTTCCAAGATCTCGACTGGGTCAAACCTATGAAATCTGGACCAATCTCGATGCTCCTGCGTTAAGACACAAGAAACATAATCTAGTAAAGTGCCGCGCGGCAGTTGCGCTTCGGTATGAGATTGGGGTAGTCTGTAGATGACGGCTCTACTTAAAGCCTGCAGAGAGACGTCATTCAGGCTTCTGAACTAGGTCTCTGGGGTTTCACGTCTGTCAACTTGTCATTGCTGACTTTGGGGGAGTCTGGCTAGCCAGCAGGGCTTAGTCTCTCTTATCCGGTGTGGTCTAACCGTCCTGGGCAAACCATTCGAAAACATTAAAATATATCAAAATCACAGCCAAAACTGGGTCTGTTTCGTGCCAAGTAATGCAGCAATATCTTAACCAACCCACGTTCGATTGATGGTTTGAATGATGCCCGTATCCCAGTGACTTCCAAAGGCCTTGTAAATTGCCTTGCCCTGTGAGGCCTACTGCTTACTGAACTGCGAGGGCCCATTGAACTGTGAGGGCCTACTGAACTGTGAGGGTTACTGCCCATTGAACTGCGGCCACCGAAGCCATCGCCAAACCACCGAGTTTGACATTATAGCCAGGATCTTAGGTTTTAATTGTTTAGCTGTCTGGTACGAACCTCTGGCAAATGCAAGACGAGAGTACTGACATTGGAAAACCCAGTTTTCCCATACAAAATGTGGCCTTTGCGATCTTCATACACCCAAAGATTAATTCCTGACCGATTTGCCCAGGACGGCTAGACCACACCGGATAAGACACGCCATGCCCTGCTGGCTAGCCAGACCCCTTTGGGGTAGCTGGTGTAGCTTTGCTTTAGCTTGCACCTGGCAGCGCTATGTTCATCCTGTCTTCAGTGCCGGCTTTCTGTAGAGCGGACACCAAGGTAGCTTGAGAAACAGCTCGGCCGTAATGACCGCGTAGTTGAAGTTGGCCTCTCTTTGGTACTAACACCACCGACTACGTTGTTTGATGTTGTAGGTAGTCGACAGGTGCTGTTCAGGCATTGATGCTTCTCGTAATACTTACCCTAAGGTATGTTGAGAGTGCTGCTGTACCGTGGTAGCTCTCCGTCTGAGCACCACCAACCAGCTCTCTACCTCTTGGTCATATGTATCACTAGGTACTTGAAAAAGTACCCATATTTCCTTAGACACAAAGCCGTGTCATGCAATTGGGTACCAAGACTGGCTGGAGATACCACATACCTTATCTCCTGGTGCGACTCTGCGTTTGTGTGTTGTCGTCTAGATGCCGTGTGTGATGGTCGCACAGAAACTGTATCTCGAATTCAGGGACCTTTGTACCACCCCCCATAATCCAACCACCGAAAGTAGTCACCCCGGGAGATTCAAATCGCCATGACATCCTGTTTGGGAGAGGGGGATGTCAGCAGATGTCGAAGGATATCTTGTCATTCAATGCAGTTGGTGCATAGCGTAAGAATGATGGGTAGTTAGTCGAGACCAGCTATGAATAATAAGAACAAAAGGAACTTCCCCATAGAGCCGCAAGGTATGACGAAGTGTCTTGGCCTCTGACGGGTGTTTAGGTGTGGTTGAACTGCTTTCTGCTTGCTGGGTGCTCTTTTCATCCGATCTGCAGGTCACTGACACAAGCAACTGCGCCAAGAGACATGGGCCAAGGGTTCTCCAGATTTTCCATTTTCTTGGCCATCACGATGTGCCGTGCGCCGAATGTCTGGGCATGCCGCTATAGCCGCCACATTCCTGTTTTTTTGTGACCTTTTTACACTGCATTCGCCCGCCAACCACGGTGGGAGGTACCGAGGTTGTGGTTTGCTGGATGGTTGCAATCGGCAGAAACGGGAGGATTTGTGAGCAAAAGTTCTTGTTATCAGTGAATAGGGGCGGTGAAGTGTGATTGCTGAGCTGATAATGTCGCCTGTTTGATATGATTATGTACGTGCCTCAGGGAGCGATGTTTTCTGCCCTGCTGGCCAGGCCGGTGATGATTCACAGCAGCCATCGGAGTCACCAGTTGGTGGGAGATGGGCGTTTACTGTACGCCATTTGCTATGTTCATGTTCAGGTTCAGCCTTTCAAGCCACACCGAGTTCAACAGGTTCATGTTGCGTACGTGCCTCGGGTGTTTGGTTGGATGGTTGGTTGGACGGATATAAGTGAGGATCGGGGTGTTGTAGAGGCCGCAGTCCGACTTTGTCTCACGTCATATGCGGGAAGGGAGAGCTTGCAAGAGAGGTGCGATTGGAAGGCTATGAGGTGTATTTGACTCATCCGCTCAACTGACCGGACTCTTTCCAGCTTCCACGTGTAGAGTCAATGGAGGAAAATGTATGTTTCGCCGTTACACCGCATTCTGCTGTTCAGAGAAAGTAACTTGACTAAATAAAGGATGCGCGCCTTGTCCGACGGGGCGTTAGGTAGCCGTGATATATGTACGTCGTTACATGGGGAATAGTCTCGGAGAGTTGCCTAACCCCATTCAAGAATCAACTGGATCGATAGCGAGGGGTGCTGGGATGGGAGAAACGTGGAAGGCTGTGATCGCTGGGTTGGCGTATTCGGCAAATCGATATCGAAGAAAGTCGCCTTCTTTGTTGTTTCGATGTTCGATCAGACCAGATGAATCTTTCGGCCGCTAGGCCGGTGGCAAGCCTGCGAGGTACTCCGCCTGTTGGGGAAGAAAGCATGTACTGTAGACGGCCCGGAAGCATGCTGGGCCGCCCATTTCGCATGCGTCGGTTGCCTTCTGCTTTTGTCAATATGTACGGCTCGGTTGACACCTCTTGGTTGAGGGTGGGTGGGTACCACGGCCATGGAAATCCCGAGTGTCCGACACCTTGTCCCCTTTTATTGCTTCCTTCCCTGATCCTGACCTGTCCACCTAGGTGCGCAGTCCCTAGCATTTCTTGGCTTTGACCTGCTCCCCTTCTTGTCCTTTTTCTTCGACCTCGGCTTTTTTTTGGTTCTGAATACCTTCCCTACATTGCCAGACAAGCCTCCGAGTAGTAAGCTGATCGAAGACACGGACCTAAGCTACGAATCGACCAGCCTATGCACGTCATTCAGTAAACTACGGGCCAATCGCTCGTCGCTTACCGCGTCTCACCCCCCTATTACCAGTGAATAACGCGCCGCTGCTATTCATTTGCGCCGCCTCACAGGCCATCTGCCGCCATGGCAGCCGATCAGTACTCAGAAAAGTCGGAACCGACCCGCGCCGTCTCACCTGAGAGCCCCGAAATTCAAGAATCCAGAGACGTCAGTCCTTCAGCAGATCTTAAGAAGCTCGACAGCAAGGTCGTCGCACCCCCACCAGAAGCAGACGATGACAAGGAGGCCGACCCCTTCAAGCACCTCCCAGAGAGGGAGGCCAAGATCCTGAGGGATCAGGTCTACACCCCCGATATCAAAGTTGGAGTTGCGACACTGTACCGTTATTCGTCGCGCAACGACATGATCATCTTGGTTGTTTCGGCGATATGCGCCATTGCCTCTGGAGCCGCTTTGCCATTGATGACGGTCGTTTTTGGCAATCTTCAGGGCACTTTCCAGGATTATTTCACACCCGGCAGCAACCTGTCTTACGATGAGTTCACCAGCGAGCTTGGATCATTGTGCCTTTACTTCGTATATCTGGCCATTGGAGAGTTCGTTACATCTTATGTTGCTACAGTTGGATTCATCTACTGCGGCGAGCATATCAGCGCCAAGATTCGCGAGCACTATTTGGAAAGCTGCATGAAGCAGAACATCGGTTTCTTCGACAAGCTCGGCGCTGGTGAGGTCACCACACGCATCACGGCCGACACCAATCTCATCCAGGAAGGAATCTCGGAGAAGGTTGGCTTGACGCTCCAAGCCGTCGCCACTTTCGTTGCTGCCTTCGTCATCGGCTTTGTGAGCTACTGGAAGTTGACTCTTATTCTTATGAGCACTGTCGTGGCTCTCTTGCTGGTTATGGGCACTGGCTCAACGTTCATTGTTAAGTATTCTAGGCAAAACATCAGTGCCTACGCTCAGGGTGGTTCGGTGGCCGAGGAGGTCATTAGCAGTGTCCGCAACGCCGTTGCCTTTGGCACCCAGGATCGCCTCGCTAAGCAGTATGATGTTCACCTCATCAAGGCCGAGTTCTTCGGCTTCAAGCTCAAGAGCGTTCTGGGCGTCATGGTTGCTGGTATGATGCTTATTCTGTATCTAAACTACGGCCTTGCTTTTTGGATGGGCTCGGTCTTCTTGCTTGACGGCTCCACGACACTCAGCAAGATCCTGATCGTCATGATGGCTGTCATGATGGGCGCCTTCAACTTGGGCAATGTCGCGCCTAACATGCAGGCTTTTACCACCGCTCTCGGTGCCGCCGCCAAGATCTACAGCACCATCGACCGTATCTCCCCGATCGATCCATCGACTGACGACGGCATCAAGCTCGAGAAGGTGGAGGGAACCATTCGTCTCGAAAACATCAAGCATATCTACCCTTCCCGTCCTGAGGTTGTGGTCATGGACGACGTCACCCTCGAGATTCCTGCTGGCAAGGTCACCGCGCTCGTTGGAGCTTCCGGCAGTGGCAAGTCGACTATCATTGGTCTGGTCGAGCGATTCTACGCGCCTATCGAAGGAACTGTGTATTTGGATGGTGTCGACATTTCCACTCTGAACCTCCGCTGGTTGCGCCAGCAGATTGCCCTTGTCTCTCAGGAACCAACACTCTTCGGCACTACCATCTACGAAAACATCCGCCACGGTTTGATTGGTACCAAGTGGGAAAATGAGGGCCCTGAAAAGCAGAGAGAGCTCATCGAGGACGCTGCCAGGAAGGCCAACGCTCACGACTTCATCACATCTCTTCCTGAAGGCTACGAAACAAACGTCGGTGAACGTGGTTTTCTCCTCAGTGGTGGCCAGAAGCAACGCATTGCTATCGCTCGTGCTGTGGTGTCGGATCCCAAGATTTTGCTCCTTGATGAGGCCACCAGCGCATTGGATACCAAGTCTGAGGGCGTTGTACAGGCTGCTCTGGAGGTTGCTTCCGAAGGCCGTACCACCATCACCATTGCTCATCGGTTGTCAACCATCAAGGATGCTCACAACATTGTGGTCATGACCCAGGGCAAGATCGTCGAACAGGGTACACACGACGAGCTCTTGGAAAAGCGTGGCTCATACTACAACTTGGTTACTGCTCAGGCTATCGCCGCTGTCAATGAGATGACTGCTGAGGAAGAGGAGGCCATCAACGAGGAAGAGGAAGCTGCTCTTATCCGCAAGGCATCCGCCGCCCAGAAACAGGAGGGTGTCCCCGAGGACCCAGAGGACGATATCAATGCCAAACTCAACAGGAGCAAGTCGACCCAGAGTGTCAGCTCCATGGCATTGGCCGGACGTGCCAAGGCCACCCCCAATAAATATAGCTTGTGGACTCTGATCAAGGTGATTGCCAGCTTCAACAAGAAGGAGTGGAAGCTCATGTTGATTGGTCTATTCTTTTCTGCTATCTGCGGTCTGGGTAACCCGACCCAGGCTGTCTTCTTCGCCAAGCTTATCACTGCCTTGTAAGTTTTCCTGTTTGTTGTGCATTCGACCATAGCTGATATTTTTCAGGTCTATTCCCCCCACGACCCAAGAGGCCAGAGACTTTATGAAATCTGAAGCCTCTTTCTGGTGCCTCATGTACTTGATGTTAGCCCTCGTCATGTTCATCGCTTTCACGGCCCAAGGCATCGTCTTTGCGAAGTGCAGTGAGCGCCTCATCCACCGTGTTCGCGACAGGTCTTTCCGCACCATGCTCCGCCAGGATGTCGAGTACTTTGATACCGATGAGCATTCGGCTGGTGCTCTCACCTCGTTCTTGAGCACTGAAACGACACATGTTGCTGGCTTGAGCGGTTCTACTTTGGGCACTTTGATCATGGTCACCTCGACACTCATTGCTGCTTGCACCGTTGCGCTTGCCATAGGCTGGAAGTTGGCTTTGGTCTGCATTGCTACCATGCCTCTCCTTATCGGATGCGGTTTCTTCCGGTTCTGGATGCTTGCTCACTATCAACGCCGCGCAAAGCGTGCCTACCAGGGCTCCGCCAGCTTTGCTTCCGAGGCCATCACTGCCATTCGCACCGTTGCTTCGCTCACTCGGGAGCAGGATGTGCTTCGCAACTATCGCGAGTCATTGGCTATTCAGCAACGCGCCAGTCTTATCTCGGTCTTGAAGTCGAGTTTGCTGTATGCCGGCTCTCAGTCGCTCATGTTCTTGGCCTTTGCGCTCGGTTTCTGGTACGGCGGTACTTTGATCGCCAAATACGAGTACGACATGTTCCAGTTCTTTTTGGTCTTTACCTCTGTCATCTTCGGTGCTCAGTCTGCCGGCTCGGTGTTCTCTTTTGCTCCCGACATGGGCAAGGCGGCCGAGGCCTCTCGCAACCTCAAGACTCTGTTCGACATGAAGCCGACTATCGATACTTGGTCCGAGGACGGCGACAAGGTTGAGGCCATCGAGGGGAGCTTGGAGTTCCGCGATGTTCACTTTAGGTACCCTACTAGACCCGAGCAGCCTGTCCTGCGTGGGCTCAACCTCACCATCTCGCCTGGTCAGTATGTTGCTCTTGTCGGTGCCTCTGGATGCGGCAAATCAACCACCATCGCTCTTCTGGAACGCTTCTACGACCCTCTCGCTGGTGGTATCTTTGTCGACGGCAAGGAGATTAGCACTCTCAACATCAACGAGTACCGCAGCTTCATTGCCCTCGTGTCTCAGGAGCCTACACTGTACCAGGGCACCATCAAGGAAAACATCTTGCTCGGTGCACCCTATGAGGTGTCTGATGAGCAGATCAAGTTTGCCTGCCAGGAAGCCAACATTTATGACTTTATTCTCTCGCTTCCTGACGGATTCAATACTGTTGTTGGTTCCAAGGGTGCTCTGCTCAGCGGTGGCCAGAAGCAGCGTATCGCTATTGCTCGTGCCTTGGTCCGCGATCCCAAGATTTTGCTTCTTGACGAGGCTACTTCGGCGCTTGACTCCGAGTCTGAACACGTTGTGCAGGCTGCTTTGGACAAGGCTGCCAAGGGGAGAACGACAATTGCAGTGGCGCACAGACTGAGCACGATTCAAAAGGCGGATATCATTTATGTGTTTGATCAGGGGAGAATAGTGGAGAAGGGAAGTCACTCTGAGTTGATGAAGGCCAACGGCAGATATGCCGAGTTGGTCAACTTGCAGAGTTTGGAGAAGAACCGGTGATTTTGTTTCAAGAAGAAGTAGAGTTTGTTTTTGGCTGCCGTTTTTCGAGATATCCCACTTAGCAAGCAAGCAAGTCAAAGCAAAAAGGCGAGGCGTTTGGGTTGGTATATTTCCGCGTCTGGTTCGAGTACACATTTTACACATTTACTAAGTTATTATATAGATGGATGGGAAGGCAAGAGTGTGTGTTGTATGCGCTACTCAGTGCTGTAATTGTAAAAAATATTATGACAGCTTCATCAGACGCTTGATTTCTTTAGTGAAATAAAGTGAGGCAACCCGTTCGTTGATAACGTTACAAGCTTGGCACGCCCATACTGTGGTATGCTGTCGGCGGTTCAGATGAGATGAGATAAGGTGGCAGTCTAGCCTTGCAGAGGAAGGACTGCGAGATGGTATCAAAATGAGACGGGAATTTTGCTACAAAGTCGCCTAGTTGCCTCACGCTCATGACCTATTCTGTTTGATGCTGTAGAAGCGGTTGACGTGTTCAAAAGACGGCCATTCGCCACTGCATTTTAGCTGCCAGCGAAGTGAGTTGAGTGAGCTTTACGACCACTTGAGTGGCCCCACTTATCACTACCCAACTTATTTCCCTACTACACCACATTCATTCACTTAACTACATCTGCTACGCGCAATTTTTATCGGGTTTTCTACCAGAACGGTTTGTAAGTCCGGGCGTGTTTATAAGTTCTGGACAAGCACTAACTGAAGAATAGGTGGCAATCATCAGATATCTGGCCTTTTGGAGTGTGTTGTGACTGACGAGGCTAAAGTGCGTGTGTGAGGAGAGGTTGCCTACGCGTCTTAGACGCTGACAGTTTGGACAAAGAAACCGAGCCGAGGCTGCCAATCGCTCCCGTTCTTACTCACTTGGCCTACACCTCAAGTTTTGCTATATCTCCAAGCTTATGTTGAGACTATCACCAACCCAACCACCAGCATGCACCACCTCATCTCCAACCCCGCGGTCCTCCTCGCCGCCACGGCCCTCCTTTCCTTCTCCGGCCAAGCAACAGCAGCAGCCAAACCTAAGAACGCCATTCTCCTCTCCCAAGTATGCCCCCTTTTCTGCGCCAATTCCCACCCCTTTCTATCTATCCACCAGTCCCAGCTTGATGCCCCCCCTCTTTACTGACACTTCCACAGGTTAAAAGTCTCACCTTAAACTCCCACTCCAAAACCACCTCCCGCCGCGTCTCCCCCATTCCCCAACTAAAATGTACATCCCCGCCCAAACTCTGCTCCCTCCCTGAAGCCTCCTCCATCACAACCATGCGCTGCCTCAACACCGGCTCCTCTTACACATCCGAAGACATAGAATGGTCCTGCACCGCCTCCCTGCCCCCCACCCTCCGCCTCGACAGGACAGAGGTTATTTGCGAGGGGTACGATTCCCCGGATGACCCTTATGTCCTAAAAGGGAGTTGCGGGGTGGAGTACACTTTACAGCTCACCGATCAAGGCAGGCAGGAACACCCTGGTTTGTACTTCAAACCGGGTCTGTTGATGAACGACAAGAATGAAACAGATTGGGGGGGTGTACTCTTCGGAATCATTTTTGTCGGAGTGGTGGTGTGGATTATCTGGGGGGCCTGGAGGGGGGCGAGGGATAATACTGCCAATGGGCAGAGGAGACAACCACGGACAGGAGGGGGTTACGGTTCGGGGTGGGGGGGTAACAACGATGACGATGACGATCCGCCTCCTCCTTACCCTGGTTCTGGTTCAGGAAGGGGGGCTAGACGCCCGAAAACAACGAGTTCGAGTTCCAGACAGCCACAACAGCAGGAACAGGGCTGGCGGCCGGGGTTTTGGACGGGGCTGGCGTCGGGGGCGGCGGGGGGGTATATGGCTGGGCAGAGGAGGGGGAATAATTCCAGTGCTTTCGGGGGGTATAACAACAGCAATTATGAGGACAACTACCGCGGCGGGTCGAGCAGGTTTGGAGGTGGGGGGAGCGGTTGGGGCGGTGGTGCTGCTGGACCGTCGAGGTCGTCTGGCTCGGGGAGTTCTGGACCAAGTCATGAAAGCACTGGGTATGGGTCTACTTCGAGAAGATAGATAGAAGACACGGCACGATGGTATAGATGCCTAGACAAACAATCATCTAACAAGTAACAAGAGGTGTTGAATGTTGTTTTACTTCTTTGTACACTACTTTCCCTTCCTTCCTTCTTTCTTTCTGATATACCTCCCAAAACTTTAGCAAAGGCTGGCAGAGTATCAATCCCTATATAAAAGCACTCATCACCACCCTTATACTCAACTCCCCATCCCAGCCAACCCCACCCAACACAGCAGGAAAAAAATGATGATGATATGCCTAATAACTCCCTGCCATCTATATCCTGCCTTCTCCTTCTCATTTCTTTTCCTTGTCCCCCATCTCACCAAGGAGAAAAATGTAATGCGAAAATATCAAGAGCCAGAAGCCAAGGCAGGGTAGCCAGACCCAAGGATGCCGAGCCGCAAAGAGTAAAACTAGAAAAAACTTATTCGTACTACTCTCACACGGTAGAATTACAAAACGCTTTGTGTGGCGAAGAGATCCAAGCATCAACAGAAACGAAAATTATCACCCCTTTCAAGCTTCTTCTCCCTCCGCTGTTTCTGCAGTGTCATAGTGATAAATCGTTTCGATAACGACGTCCAGAGACCAATGGACCAAAACTGCGCAGCCCGCGTCGATCCATCGTTCAGGTCGATTCTTCTCGTGAGCCTGAACCAAGGGCAATCAGGCTGACGAGTTTGGCAATGGTGAAGATATGGCGGTGTTCAAGGCGGTGATCAAGGCGGCGACGGACCCGGCGACGACAAGAGCTAGAAACAACAGAGCCTACTCATCTTCCCCCTCTCTCTCATCCTTCCTCCCTGGCCCAAATCTGCGCCCGATTTCATCCAGGTCAGCCCCAGAACGAGCCTAAAGGTGGGCCGCCATGGCATCGGATCGGTCAAACGCCTTGTTGCAGCTCGGGCACTTGCGCATTCGGTTGGCCAGCCGGTCGTCCACGCAGCTGTTGCAGAAAACATGACCACATCCCTTCAGTATCGTGTTTTTGAAATTGCTGCGGCAAACAGAGCAAATAACCAAGTTCTGTCAAAATGTTAGCTTCCACTCTCATGCGCATGACAGAGACGAAAAAAAAACCTACCCGCAAAGCCTCCTCTTCATCGGTTGAGTTGCCGCGACACTTGGCCCTCAGTTTGCTAATTTCCGAGTTCTTCTCCTCCAACCGTGCCTTGATCTTGTCCAGCTCTTGCTCCCGGCTCATAGTTTGCTCCTTCATGCTAGTCACTGTGGCGTCCTTGGCCTTGAGCAGTTCGGTCAAATTGGCAATCTGGCCCTTGACCGAGTCGGCTCTTCTGGTCGCTTCCGCTGTCAACAACTCAAGCCTCTTCTTCTCCGCTGCCATGCTTGCGGCCTCGGTCTTGAGAGTTGCAATTTGCTTCTCCAGGTTGCTGATGACACTTCTCGTGGAATGCTCCACGTCCTTGAGCTGTGCGATGATTTCGGAGCTCCTTGAGTTTTGCGAACGCAAGGTACGGATCTCCTGAAGCCGAATATCCATGTCTTTCCGTGCCGCAAAGTACTTCTGGTCCGCTTTGGCTTTCTCGGCCATGAGCGTGTTGATGCGCTCTTCGACAGCGTTATTGTCCATGGTTTTGGAATGCGCGAGCACCATGGCCTTTTTGTACGACTTCTCCAGAAGCGGAAGTTCCGTATTGATCGAGGCATAGTCCTTCTCGAGTTTGGCGCACTTTGCCCGGAGCTCCTCAATCGACAAAGATTCGAGATTCGGTTGCGCGTCGGTCATGACCACGTCCTCACTTGGTCGCAGTCGTTCCAGCTCAGATTCAAGTTGGGTGATGCGATCCATCTTGGCGTTCACGAGTTCCTTCATTTGATCCAAGGCGGCCCTTTCTTGATCCTGAGCGGCCTTGCGCATGGCCAACTCAGCTACCAAGTCGTCTCTGGCAGCTCGAATCCGCGTAAGGTCCTGATCCTTTGCCTGTATTTGGTCCTCCGCCTCGGACACTACGAGCTGAGCCTCGGCCTCCACCTTAACTTGCCAGTCAGACCTTTCTGCTCGTAGCTTCTCGGCCTCCTCGCGCAGCTGCTTGTTAGTGGCTTCCAGATGGTTGATGCGCTTGATAAGATCCTCATTCTGGAGCTTGAAATGCTTGAAAACGTCTGTTCGAACATAATCTTCATCAGAGACACTTTCCCTCTTGGTTTTGAAGGTCGAGTTCTCTTCCATGAGGGCCTTGTTTTCGGAGATAATGGCCTCGATCTGCAACTTTTGCCTGTTGACAACAGCTTGCGCCTCCTTGTAAAGTGCCTTCAACTCGCTGGTGTTGCCATCGGTGTCGTCGGAAGAATCACCATTTTCCTCTGTCTTGACTGGCCGTGTCGTCGCACTGGCCAGGGCCTTTTGTTCCAGCTTTTGAACCTGGACGCTTCTCACACGGTCTAGTTTTCTCTCCGCCTTGATTGCTTTCAGCGTTGCTTGGTCATATTGTTCCGAGAGAAGCGCCTTATCCGACTCGAGCCTGTCCAGCTTCAGATGTAACTCCTTTTGTTGCGCGAGTGCCGTCTTGAGCTGAGATTCAAGCTTGGCAACGTCTGGCTTTACCTCGCCACGTGAGCTTGCTAGACGCTGAAAAATGGATTCGGCCTTGGATTTGAAAGCTTTGCCCTTGTCACCCAAATGTCTCTGGAACTCCTTGCTGTCCTTAAAGCCGAGTGCGGTTGACGATGGGAATGGCGAGTCTAACAAAGTCAGAAGTGGATACTGGATAAGACTTGACAAGGATTTCGTACCTGACGGAGAGCGAGATGATACTGTGCCATCGACGAGTAACTCTATTTCTTGCAGTAACTAGTTGTGGCGCATTAGCTGCGGTGTTCCGAACGGAAAAATGTGGCAGCAAACTCACCTGATGTAGCCAGGCGTCGACAACTCGGATATGGTCGTCGTGGTCGGTGTGGTTCTTTTCGAGCTCCTGTACGCGACTTTCAAGGCTTGCTTTTTCTCGTTTGTACTCTTGCATCTGGCGATATATGGCGCCCTTGGTATATTCCTACATGTACCGCAAACTTGTCAGCCAAAACCATCACCCTAGTACTCGGCCGAGAGGAACGTGTATACACATCGTAGCGGAGACAGCGAAGTAAGAGTGATGAGCAGTGATGAGACACTAGAGGAAACCTGGTAGAACTCGGGCGCGCTGTTTATTTGGCAGCAGGCCACGCATTAGCCGCGGTCAAGGCGAGCAACTCGTGCAGAAACATCGCGCTGGATGGAGACTGTCACCCATCACTCGGCAGGGCCGCAAACTGGTTGGCGCGCGATGGCAGAGCAGGGGTCCGAGTGGCCTGCTCGATGAGTGCCGGAATAGGAATGAGGAGGGATGGGGATAGGAGAGAGGATGCTGGATGGCCGGGGCAGGTGGTGATGACGCGGGGGGGGGGAAGGGACGGCTGTCGTGTGACGACTCACCTCAATCCAGGCCTCTTCTTTCATGTCGCCAGAGTCATCCTTGGACTTTCCGCTGCCGTTGACCTGATGGCGCTTGCTCGGGGGAGCTACTTCGTCGACCGCGCCGGACGCGGGTCTCTTCCTGTCCTCCATCTTGGCAAAGCTGGACGGACGAGGCAACGCGGACGGGGAGGTGGCAACCGGCATCAGAATGGCCGCGCGAGATTTGGATTTTTGACTTGCAAAAGCCAAAGGAAAGGGTCGATCAGGGCGGGGGGAAAAGATTAAGATGATTAAAATAAAGTACGAGTGGAAATCGGGGTCAGTGGGTTTCGGCGTCTGTGTGGCCCGGCGGTGCTCCAATGATGGGAAGAATGAATGAGCGTGGGAGCGTGAGCGAGTTTGGAATTGGAAGAAGCAGAGACGAGAGAAAGAGAGCCCGCTGACTTCGACTGCAAGTTCGCCAAGGAATTCCCAGAGATGGCTCCTTTTTGAGGCCGCTAGTCCTGTTTCGGCTCTAGCGGGGCAGCTTGGTGGGGACTGCATTTCTTATGTGCGTCCCAGCTCTGTTCCGACGTGCTTTTCACCTAATCCAACACTTTTCCACTCGGCCAGCCATCATTCCCGAAACCATCAACTAGATCCCACTGCTCAGAAGCACGCCAATTTGATTCTTCTCGCGAAGACATCTATTTGGCTTTTGACATCATTTATTGCGGCGGCAATCAGCGACCCGACCGGCGGCAAATGCCCCAAGACTGCCGTGGATTTCAGTAACTCAAAGGCCACAAAGGTGCCCAGTGCGGGGCAGTGAGTTGGCACGATGTTGGCGAACAACAAGAGCAAGTTCAAGCCGGGACCCAAGCCGAAAGGGAAACGCCCTCCTCCTGCCTCGAGGCCTTCCTCCTCGAATACTCCAGCTTCTACTCCAGCTGCCTCTCAGCAAGAGGACGCAAACCCGACCCCGCCCCCACCCAGCGCCCCTACTGAGGCCGCTCCTCCGGCCGTCGACAATGCCCCTCCTCAAGATGTCGAGACACCTTCAGCTCAGGGCCAGACACAGCACTCTGAAGTGAGAGAGCCGTCACCAATTAGCACCACGACTTCTGCTGCGGGAGTATCAAGTATCCAGAGCCAGGATGATGCTACACCCTCTCAGGCCGAGACCCCGGCGTCAACTGCTCCATTGCCCACGCCGGTATCGCCCAGGCATGCCCGTCCAACCGCACCCAAACCCGTGAGAGCGTCGAAATCGGCCGCTGTGTCAGTTCCTCCTCCAGCAGCTCCTGCCCCGGCGCTCACCCCTGCGCCTACGCCTTCGGTGCCCGAGCAAGCTTCATCAGCTACCTCCTCCTCAGGAGCATCGACTATCTCTGAAGCTCCACCCCCCAAAGAAGCTACACCTAGCACAGAAGATGTTGTCGCCTCCGTTGAGCCTGTAGCTGAGCAGCCCGCCGAACCCACCTCTGGTCCCTCTCAACCACCCGAACCGAGCACCTCTGGACCATCCCAAGCCCCAAAGCCGAAGCCCAAACCCAAGCCCCGGGTCCCCCGGAAACGCAAAGCCGACACAGCCATCGAAGAACCCACTGCAGAAACAGCTGAGAATGAGGAGGCCGGCGAAGCAAACACAAGCACCCCCGCCCCAAGAAAGCGAGCCCGCAGACGAGCCGTCCCCCTCCCAGGCGAGGAAGGCTACGAAGCATACCAAGCCGCCAAAGCAGCCAGAAAACCCCGTCAAAAGCGCACCAGGGCCGCAGTCGCCGCCGAAGATGGGGAGACCCCCGAAGGAGAAGCAACCCAATCCCGAGCCAACTCCCGCGCCCCACGTGCTCAGCGTGAGGTAACACCCGAAAACGCCGAAGAGCAAGTTGTAGACGAAGACGAGTTCAAAATGGCCGACCTAGCCAAGGACCTCCGGATCGGCAAGAAGTTTTCTCTTCATGATACCCTTTTGGAGAGGGAACGGGTGAAGAAACTGAAGGCGAATGAGAAGAGGAAGAAGGGGAGGGGTAATGGTGCCGAGGAGGGTGGGGAAAACAACGACAATGATGGGCAACCTCAAACTTTGAACGCCGACACCCCCTTGCCGGGGGGTAATGATGATGATGAAGGGGAGTTTGCCCGCCCGGTGGCAGTGACAGCCCCGGTAGGAGAACAATACCAGATCATTGACGGAGAAATCGTGCTCAACCAGTCATCTCTCCAAATTGATCGGCATGCCAGAGCGAGAGAAGCGGAGGGGAATCTGGAAGAGGTGGAAGTCAATGATTTCACCAACCACACCACCCAGCAGACTTATCTCCGCCGCGCCCTGAAACCAGGTCAATGGTCCGACGCCGACACTGACCAGTTTTACTGGGCGCTTTCGAGATTCGGGACGGACTTTGAGCTGATTTCGAAAATGTTTCCTGGCAAGACGAGGAAGCACATCAAGCTGAAATTCAATCGGGAGGAGAGGCAAAATCCGGCGAGGGTGAAGAGCGCGTTGGTCGGGGAGGTGAAGCAGCCGATGAGGATTGAGGAGGTGAAGGAGAAGACGAAGCAGGAGTTTGAGACGACGGACGACATCGAGAAGGAGCTGGAGGAGCAGAGGAAAGAGTTTGAGGAGAGGGAGGAGGCGGTGGAGAGGGAGAAGAGGGAAGAAGAAAAGAGGAAGGAGGAGAAGATGCTCAAGGAACTGGAGGAGGCAAAGAAGAAGAGTGGGCGGAGGGGGAAGAAAAAGGTGGAGCAGGGGGTTTGGTGAGGCACATTGTGGTGTTTACGGGGGGGGGGATAGAAAGGATTCGGTCGTGGTTACGAGACCCACAGGCAAAATAGGAACCCAGGTAGATAGATGTGCTGGTATTTGTAAGGGTTTCTCGCATTTATTTCGATTCATTGATACCCATAGCTTTATTTATCGGAAGGAATCAAAGCGATGTTTTTATTACCCTGTCTGAAATGAGCCGCCAGTGACCTGCTAATAGTATGCCCGAGTTGGGTACTAGAGTCTACACAGCTAATGATGGTTCCCAACCCCTTCATATCACTCGCAGGCATAAAAGAGATGTTGAGCACTTTCTCTCTCTCTCCCTCCACCTCAAAATTTTCCCGTCTTCCATCCCCAGAGTCTAGCATCACAGATCACTGGCACTCAGACTTCCAGTTGGAGAAAAACCTAGCTGTTTGGTATCTTGCTATCAATAATAGACCTTCGCTTTTAACTTTCTGCCTGCCTCACCTCACCAGTGAAAACAAAAAGCTAAAAGCCTCCGCCCATCTCCACCCCGCATAACCATTCCTGCCTGGATATCCCGAATAACCCCGCAATCCCAAAGCAAAGGCGAATTAGAAGAAAATTAGTGAGTACCGGTGCCGCCCATGTCATCATCATCGTCATCGGGCTGGTCGAACAAGAAGTTCGCAGCCAACTCCTCGTTCTTCTCGCAGGCAAAATACGCCTGGATGGCCTGGTCCTGGCTGAATCCTAGCCGAGTCAACCGCTCAATGGCGTCACGCTCCTCCTCTGTGACCGAAATCTGGTGGGCTCCAGGGGGGAGCGGCGCATCGTCATCACCGTGCTCACTAAGCAACTGGAGGAACTGCTCGGGGTTCTGGGCGATCGTCTGGGCGAGTTGTGGGTTACCAGCACTGAGCTGCTGAAGAATCTGCTCGAGCATGCCGGGCTGTTGTTGGACGACTTGGCGAAGCTGTTGGAACTGAGCGTTCTGTCTAAGCCAGCTTAGGTTGCCAAGATCTTGCGCGCTCGCTCCGGCGGCAGCAGCTCCACCACTTCCGCTGCGGGCACCACCAGCACGAGCAGCAAGGTCAAACAAATTTTCTCCCTCAAGGTCACCAGCAGCCTCACCAGCAGACGCAGGGGCGGGGCTCGCAGCAGCAGGGGCGGGGGGGGGGATGGCATGACCCACGCGCTGGGCAGCTGTTTGTTGTTGAACGTTCTCGGGAATGCCCTGGGTTATACAAGTTAGTCACATCTGCACATGCCGCAATCGCCGATCTCTTGGTACACTCAAACATACCGTCAACAAGTACTCAACCGCACGCTCGGGGTTGAAGAAGGCGGCACGCATAGCAGCGTCGATCTGGGATCGCTCGAAACCCATGGCCTCCATGTTGGCAATAGCCTGTGCACGCTGCTCTCCCATAGCCAGAGCACTCGAGTCGTTGGGGGCACCACTAGTCCGATTTGGGCTGGGGGTGGCAGGAGCAGCTGAGGCGGCATTTGATACTTGAGCTGGGGCAGCTGGGGGCGCTGGGGTAGAGGCCGGGGCGGCTTGAGCAGGTGTGGCCGGGACGACGGAAGAAGACTCGGCGGCAGGAGCTGGCTTGGGCGCCTTGGGCTGTCATTTTGTCTGCGGTTAGCCGTGACCAGTGGACAGCCAAAATGTCAGAATTTACTTACCTTGCTCACCATACAAACAACAAAGCCCTTCTCCTCGATCTTGCAAGACTCGATGGTATCCTCATCCTTCAGAATCTTGCCTGCAGTGGGCGGATGGGTTAGTTGCGGGAACCGGTAGCGGACGGATGCGTCATAGCTTTTTACCTGAATAGATGAGCTTTTGGAGCGCAGGATCCCAGCCATGGTCCTCAGAGAGCTTCTGCTTCACCGTCGAGATCTGATAGAGCTATTGTCAGCGGTGATCTTGAAAGCGATAGTAGGCATCCGTGGTTCTTGGACCGGACTGTAACCTGTAACAGGCTGTCTCGACATTGGAGGTTCGGTGGCGGGGGGCAGCTGTTGGCGGCAGCAAGGGTTGAGGGATGATGAGGGGTAACTCACGAGATCGGTGGGCTCAAACTCGATGGTGAACTTCTGCTGCTTGAGGTCCTATGGATAAGCACAATATGTTAGCATTGACCACGGCGATGTGATTGATTGAGGATTCCAAAGGTGCTATCGCAGCTATCGAAAAGCAGCTGGCTACCACCGGTGACAGCACGTACCTTGAAATTGACCTTCATGATGGGCGATCCAGGAAAGATTCCGTATGACTGCCTGTGGATGGAGGTGATAGATTAAGCGCAGTACGGAGCTGTATTGATGCTGAATCGAATATGTATCGATATTCAGCGGTCGAGGGGTCGTGGTGGTGTTTTGTGGCAAAACCTGGAGTTGCCTGTTGCTAGCAGCTTAAAATATGCTGGATGGAATTCCAGGCCAAAAGAAGGCGGCAGTGAAGTGGCAGTGGGTGCGCGCGTCCTGATGCCTAGCCCCACTCTGGTCAGCGGACCTACCGTAGCTTTACCTTCCCCTCACAATCAACCTAACCTAACCTTCACTTGCTGTCAATTGTCACCTACTACATGTGCCTTCCTTACCTATCACTCACTTGCTTTGATTTGAGACATCATGTCCATCAATAATTTCTTTTGTTTATTTTCAAGAGTCCCTATCTCCAGACGACTACCCTTCCCAATCCGATGATGAACCAAATGAAATCTATGTCTCCTGTCATGTCTCATAGTCATCAACCATTCCACCAAACGCCATTGTCCTGTTCCTTCCAGCCTGTTCCCTCAGGCCAAGTACCGGTGTCAACGCCACGCTAAAGCAAAAGTTTCAATCATGATTGGTATCTCCCCACTCCTCAGCAACACCAAGCCGCCCTACCCAAAGAAAGCAAAAAGTTTGATACACAGAAAAAAAAATGAAGGTATGTGGCGTGGTGACAAAGTTTTGTCGTCACAAGTGCCACAGAACAACTGAAGCATAACCCTACTGCGGGCTGGGTGCAGCGCCACCAGAAGCTTCTTCACTTGAGCCTGGAAGATGGATCTTCCGGCTGTGGTAGGTGGTCAGGCTCGTCCGAGACCCGGCAGACAGAATCCAATCAGGAATTGGCGGTGTCATCTTCCGCTCCGTCTCCAGCACCGGTGTCGTCCCCTCGGGGGTCAGGTATTCATCCTCCTCACGAATCTCTGGTGAGTGGGTATCAGGTTTGCGGTAGAAAGATTCAACGGACCCTTGCCGACTCAATGGGCTTGGAACGCCTGGAAGACTCCCGCTTCGCATTCGACGGAGACTCTTGATACTTCGGATGCTTTGCCTATCGCTGAGGATCTGTCCCCCGTTTGGTGCAGCAACCACAACAGTCCCTGGTGTTACGATGGGTGGTGGAGGAATAGGCGAATCGGATCTGAAGAGCGGGTGGATGTGAGACTCGCTCTGGGTAGAATGTTGTGTAAAGGCTGTCCGCTGTGCCTGGGACACTCTGCTTGGGGCTGGACTCAATGTTCGGCTTCGTCTTCTGGTGCGAGAAGGGGGCTCCAAGAGGTCTAACGGTGTGCCAGGGCTCGGACTTCGACTGGTGGTGGGGCTAGCCGGTATTGTCTCGAGGAAACGGCCCAGCGGTGGTGAAGACGATGCCAAGACGGTCTGTCGGTTTTGTGGATCAACCGCCGATGTATCCCATGAATCGAACCCTTCCTCCGTCGTTCTTGTCTGTTCGTGGAATGATGGGAGGTCTAACGAGGCTGGACGGCGCCCTCGTTGAGACAGCAAACGAGTCTTGGAGGAGATGGGCCGGACCACGTTTGATAGCGAGCTTCGAAAGGAGCTTATCGTCTCCGCTGTCGAGCGTCCGGCACTGGATCCAGGCGGTGTCTTCTCGAATGATGCGCTGTCGCGGGCTTTCCCAGAAACAAGACTTGGGCTGGTCTCGTGGTAGGCAATGGATTTCACCCGGGGAGGCGATCTGCTTCGGTCCTGGTCCTTGTGTACAGTCACCTTGATCCGTGGCCCTCGAACTCTCCCAGCAACAAAGTGGAAGACCAAGAAAACAAGCTGTGTTGCGAAAGCAAGGCCGAGGACGACCGATGAACCAACCAGGAAGCCTGTCGCGCCAGAGCCCAGAATTGTGCTCTCAGGATCCTCATCAACCTTGCTCAGGCAGATCATGTTGGCCACTGACACAGCGGCAGCGACTGTGCATAGGAACAAGCCTGCCCCGAACAACAGCCCGTTGAATTTCGCCCATCGTGCTGACCAAGGGCCGATATGCGCGCAGGTGAGACCGGTGACGGCGGCAAGAACAGTGGCTTCGAGGATGGCGGCAATGATGGCCGTGGTTCTGACCGCAGGAGCCCGGTCTTCCCGTGATCGAGCAAGGATGCTGTGTATCGCCAGGATAGCCGCGGTCGGCAGAATCGAAATGACGCCCAGCACAGCCGGAAGGGAGCGAGGGATTACCATGACGGCAATGGTTTTGATATTCGGACCCAAGGTCCAGTCTGAGACACGACGAAGTGTTGCAGTTATGTCGTCGTCTCATTCAACTACCCCCTTACAGTCCCCAACGAACCCCCCTTTGCAAACAGATGCTGAAGTGGCTTGCTGCTGGTCTGTGGTTATGCAAGATACCGGCGCCCTCTTTGACCTCCTTCAGTCTTTTGACCACGGCACCGTCACTCCGGTCTGGATCCAGGTTCCCTATGGAGTGGAGGTTATGGAAGGTTCCTGAGTCAACCAAGTTCTTCGGGAAGCGGCGGGTATAAGTGAGACGTGGTTTACCAGCCGTGTGTTCATGCGATCAGTAGGCGTGGCACCAAGACAGCTGCATTCCAGCTCAGCCGGCGTATAAGTGAGTAAGTAGTATCTTGAAGTCGGGTCAAGACTGGACAAGACCGGTTTGTAGTTGAAAAGCTCGGTTGATTGAATGGTGTGAACGGAAAAAAAAATCACGAAGCGGGTCTCGTTATTTGGTGGTCTCTTCAAGCTGATCCCGGGTAGTCGGATGTGGTTTGGGTATGTAACGGCTTGTAGGGGTGGGGGTAGCTGCTTTGAGACAGACCGGCAGCAATTGCAAACGAAGGAGAGCCCAGCTATTTGCTGGCTGGTGGGAAAAGGAGAAGACAAGATAGATAGTAAACAAGACGAAGGAAGACTCGAAAAGAGCAAGCTGGGGATTCGCCAGGCACAGCTCAGATGGGTGGGCTTACCGGCTAAATGTAGCAACTGTACACAGAGGACGCGTTTTGCTCGCGTGGAGGGTCCCCGGGTCTTTGTTGTTAGGCCATGCAGAAGCAGGATGTCTGCCGTGCCCGTGCCTTGCTGGGCCATGGTAGGGAGGCTCAGGTTGGATGGGAGGTGCCAGGGTTGCAGGGATCGACCCTTGTTGACTTGCGTGATCGTGTCCACCTGGGCCCCGAACCGCGACAGGGGGCGGTTCTGCCGGGGTCTCCCCCAAGAAAAGAAAAGAAAAAGCGACGAAGAAGATCTGACGAGGCGTCGATCCACCGCATGGCTTCTCGGGAGCGAGACGTTGGCATCTCGGCGAGTCTGTTGTCTTCAGATGACACTGTTTCACAGCACACGCGCTGATAGACGCTACACAGAGATGCGGTACTCGAGCTTCGAAGATTGCGTCGAGTCGACGGACTGCTGGTTGATGGAAAGGCTCTGTCCCGTCTCTGGGCAGCCCAATCAGCTCAGCTGGCTCTTCCTATTGGCCAGCCCGCTACTATTAGCTGACCCCCGAGGCCCGAGGAGTGGGTGTGGAAGACAGAGAGTGAATGGTATTTTCTTCTCATGCCGGTCATTTGTTGACATTGGCAGTATCATACAGAATATCGTCCAGTAGCACACTCGGGGAAAGAACGGCGCCTCCTGTGTTTGCGCAAACTTTCACCACATTCGGCGAGAAGGAGTTGCGGCTCCTCCGGGTCTAGTGTTATGTCTCCTTTTACTAGCCACCTAGCCCAGAACTCGAAACCAGACCCTCATCAAGAGACATCATGGTAGGTATCGCAGCGCAAGCGCAAGGAAACGCAACACAGACCTTCGACGTTGCAATCTCGCGTTTCTGGTTTCCGGTACTGGTTACCATGCATTCTACATCTTACAGAAGCGAGCGAGCAATGCCGTCCCCGGATGAAATCAGGTACCGGTATGTGATGGGTTATTTTTTTGGGAGCCTGCTTGTCCAGCTTCGCCTTGAGGCAAAACATGCCGGAGGCTGGCGTCACGATATGTACAAACATGCAACGGTCAACTTCACCGACAAAACACTGTCAAAAATGCAAGACAAGGCAATAAAACGCCAAACGCTGGTGTGGACGCTATTTTCCTTCCAGAAGGTGAAAGCCGGCCACGTCAAACCCGTCAGCCGAGATGCCAAGTGCTTCTAACTTTGTAGCGCAGCCTTGCCATTGCGGCGCCAAGAACAACGCTGCTCAGCATCTGCTTCAGTTCAAGACAAGATGCTCAGTCAGAACCTACCGACCCGGTCCGGCGGCACAACTTTTTGTTGCTGTCTCAAATCCTCACTACAGCATCTGACTTGCCGAGACATCATCTCATCTTGAGATGAGTGCATGTTGCCTCTGTTTCACCAGCTCGCAGGTCTTGCCAAGCCATAAGCGCAAGCGCAGGTTGGTTGAGGATGACAAACTCGACTCCACCGCCAGACGCAGGTACCAACGGTCGTTATCCGTCATCATCAGGGCTGTTTCGCTGACACGAACAAGAAAATCCAACCCATCGCGCTTGGATCGGCCCTACACCAGAACCGCACAAGTGCCATGCCACCTCACCGCCAACAGCCAACATCTCCTCCCAGAAATAGCCGATGCCATGCCTTTCCAGGCCGCGGCATTCACAGCAGCTTTCTTCTTTCGGAGTCGACGAGCCGAAGGCCTTTTGGCATGTTTGCCATTCTAATTGAGTCCATCACCAGCAAGCATCTGTTGTTTCAGCTTCTTCAGCATGGAATTTTGCCCATCATCAACCAAGCTCGAGGAGAATGATCAGCTGAACAACACAAACTCTGGCGTAGCAGGCTACCTTACCACCGGAAATCACCACCATCGTATAAAACGAGTGGCACAGCGTCCGACTTCCTCATTCCATTCCTTCTATGCTTGTGTAACTCTTTCGTAGCACGAAAAAACCTCTCATTGTATGCAAGCGATTCCGAAAACATGATTTGCCAATGCCAGCCAGGAGGAGCAAATACCCAACTCGGGAATCTCTTCTCCGATATCCCGAGGTTGTCTTTTACATCATGACAACAACTCCCCGGCGGGTTTATATGATTGAGAGATTTTTCACTTGTTTAGTTTTCGTAATGAGGGGGGTTAACACAAGCGAGGGAAAATCTCTACCCTGCTAGTACACCTCGTTTTTTCCAGCTTTCTTTCGACAGTAGAGTAGCGGAAGAAAATCCGGGCAAGGCTCGCTCGGTTACCGCAACCCCTCGATTCAATTTCTGTTTATGCAGGAAGCTTTGACCCTTGAACACGGCAGAAGCAGGGAGCAGCACAACTTGTGAGGGGGGCCGCACTCCGTACCTGCATCAAGATGCTGTCATGCGCATGCAATGGCGTTGTGATGGATGCGATGCATGTCAGCAAGAAAATGGGCGCAGCAGTTGGACGCACCGCTAGCTGAAGGGATTTTATTGGGTGATGGGTGGGAGTGAGCTGGCTGAAAAAGGAAGAATAAAAACAATTCAGGTACTTCGCAGACGCGGTAGGTAGGGAGAAAGAAAGACCGCGTCAATGGTTCGCTGCGACTGCGACAATGACAATGGAGTCAGAGCGTGCGTTTACTTGGAAACATGACTCCCTTGCGGATGGAGATGCGGTGAAGGAAGGGAGGAAGTGAAAGGGGGATACTCCGTAGGTATTATCGTGAAGTAAACAAAACAGAAAATAGTCATGGGGTTATGGCATGCGAAACAATCACCTCCACATAGGTAAAATGCTATGACAGCGACGGCAAGAGGAGGGGACTGTGCGGTTTATGCGCGAACCTCCCGTCCCGATCTCTCCGCATCGCCGGTGGGTAAGATGGGGGTTTATGCATCTAAGGCGGCATTGCCCGCAATCTCTCAACTATTTCAAAGGTTCAAATTGTAGCTTGCAAAAGACTTCAGGTACAAAATGTGTCAAGTCCCATTCATTTTCCATCTGATCTGTAGCAGCCAAACCGGCGATCATCGACTGCAACGCTGATCACTGATCACCTGTAACCATGGCCACACCTCTTATCACACCTACCCCTTCCACCTTGTCGGGAATACGAACTGGTCTGGCCGGGGCTGCGGTCGTAGATCAAAAGGCCTGGATTTCTGAAAATGATGGAAACAGGAAAGAGAGCAGTGCTAAAAACCAGGTTTGGATACTTCCAAGTTTCTTAAAAGAGTTCGCAGATCAGTCTTCTTTTTTTTTTTTTGCGGAGGGGGGTGTGGATGTTCGCTCGGTAGTGGAGGGTTACAGATACGAAACGGGAGCGACGGGCCGGTTGGGTGGGGCCGAGATCTCGGCGGCAGGTGGGGCAGGAAGTGCCGAGACCTCGGAGGGGAGAGGCCTGTTTTACCTCCGTCACCTTTCTGGAAGTGATGAAGGTGAATACTATTTGAAGGTTGCCGCAGAGAAGGCCAGGGAATTTTCGCAGATGTAAAGGACGGGGAATGCATCTCTGCATACCTCATGAACAAGATCAAAAGCTCTTCCACCCCCAAGGGTGAGGCATGATCAGGTGAATGACACATATTGGCCGAGACCCGTCAAGAGAGACCACGACTCACAAACGTTTGCTTCTCTGCATCTACAAAAGGTGAGAACCGCTTCTAAATTGTCGGCTTAAAGGTAGGCATGTTGCAAAACTTCAGGTTTGTTGGACCGTATGGAGATTCATTCTGGGTTTTGCAGAATTACATACCTTGCATACGTATCCATCTGCATCTGTGTATCTCAAAGAAAACAATCATCAAATAACAGTTGTTTGTCTGGGATGTTTACTGCAATGGCCTGTCTACTCAGTTCGGAACAAGCACGCTGGAATGTTGTGGCAAGCGGGTAAGTAGAGCTGGTGGGTGGTGTCTATGAGCTGTCTAATGCGTATCTCTTTCGAAGCAAGGTGCAGGAATTTCTGTTGTACAAACTTGCCGTGCATGCTAACCTTTTATCGTTTGAAAGCTTCCAATATATTAGGTATGCAGAGAGACAGAGATCATGGTGTTTTTCTCAACGGTGGAGTAGCAGCTAGTAAACGACACAGGCGGTTGACGATAAGTGTAGATGTAAGCCACACCAAAAAGCGAGCGACCCTTCCTTTGAATTTCTATTGGCAGCACCTCTACACTCCCCCCTGGTTGGCCAGCACAAACTTGACAATTCTCCGGTCATCCACTGGGCATTGGAGAAAAACGCTCCATCAACATCTGGTTGGCTGTCACCTCGACGTATCACATCGCAAGACCGAGGTGATTGGTTCACGGCCTGGTACTAAGAGATCAGGTCTACAATATGTGAGTCTATCTTGTAGAATATGGGGAGTGCTTGTGTTTGTAATGTTCGCTGTCAAAAATGCCGTGAGCGTGGTTCGCAACGCTGCCAGGATCACCATCATGTTGGAGGTGGAGATCATCTTCACATATACAAAATCATCATTACACCTTCACCCCCCAAACCCCCAAAAAACCACCACATGATAAAACTACACCTATATCATACACCCATCCCATCTCCATATCTCCCCAAGCTTACCCCCCAAAAAAACAAAGTCAAGTTCAGGCCGTTTGTGTATCCGCTCATAATCATACACGTTATGTATCCCCACTTCCCCCTCGCATTCCACATTCACCTTCATCTTCCCAATCATTACAATTAGGTCCCTCCCACTCCCTCCTCACAAACATAACAAGAGAAAAAGAAAAATATGGCATAGTCAGTCAACAAAAAAAGGCCGTTCAATCGCGTGTTGAAACATCAAACATCAAGAGTAAAAACCTCGCTCAAGATAGAAAAGGAAACAAAAAACAAAAAAAGACGTTTCGTCAGTTGTACCGCCCACCATAGCCTTGTACATACTCCTTTTTGTATCCGTAAATCCCTCTATGGATGGATTATGTTTCTGTTGTCAGTGTCATGGTTCGTCAAAAGTTGGCGTCGAAAAAAGGAACGTCTTTGCCGTCTGTGTTTTCGTCGTACAGCATTAGGTTGGTTCAAGGCTCGTAGTCAAGTGTAAAGGAAAGGCGTCCAAAGAAAAGTAGCTGCTCGAAAGCATGTCGTGCTCCGGTGGTGTGTTTGTAGTAGCGTGGTTGTAAGTGTCCTGTCGTGCCATCATCGTATGCTGCGGCTAGATAATTCATATAAGACCGCCCCCAGCCCCCTCTTCGGGATTTTGCAAAAAAAAAGAAAATAACTCTTGCGTGTCTCTGCTGTCGTCGCCTCCTCATATTGAAAAGAACTTTGCTGTCAAAAATGCTGCCTTTTCGTAGCTTGTCTTCTCTCCATGTGTTTGGTCGAACAGCTGGTACTGACTGCCGTCATGTCTTCGTGGGCGGTGGCGGTAAATGGCTCTCGTGCTTTACCGGCTCCATGGGCGTCGGTGGTGGTGTCTCTCGTGGTCGTGAAGCGTCCATCATGTGGTGTGGTGGCGGATGAGGATGCGAGCGTGGGCTCTGTGGTGGTGGCAGCAGTGGAGGATCCCGCATCGTGTGTCTTGGGGGCCCTTGAGCTTGCGGTGGTGGCAGTCGGTGTATGTCTTCCCTCCGATCTTGATATTCTGATACCGGCCTTGTGGGCGATCTGGCAGGTTGTTCCAACCCCGAAGTGCCATGCGTTGGACGAGGGGCTATCTCGGGCAAGAGCTTCTTTCCAGATTTTGAATCCAGAGGCCCGGCAGGCATCGAGTATCGATTATTATACGGCTGTACGCGGAAGCTCGGGCTGTTTGGCTGTGGTGCCGAGGTCGCGGCTTGTGCTGGAACTGAAGTTGGAGCCGGAGCTGGAGCTATCGGTGCTTGGGCTCGGAAGCTTGGACTGCTTGGCTGGGGCGCTGAAGCTGGGGCTGGAGCCGGAGCAGGTGCGATAGGCGCTGGGGTGATGTTTGGATAAGAAGTCGTGATCTGCCAGTGACCCGATCGGTTTTCTGACTTTGGAGGCCGCCCACGTCTGCGAGGAGGCCCTGGATATGGGGTCGGCGCCGAGGCAGGGACGGTGTTCGGATTAGGAGCAAGGGCAACAGTCGGTTGCCCGTTAGGATGATGGATGTTGACGTGATGCTGCGCAAAGGCTGGCGTCGCATGGTAGGGCAATCCGTGAGGATGGAGGTTCGCTAGGGGACGCAAGCGCCTGTCTCTTTGGAAGCGTGATCACTGACATCGCCGAACGACTTTCGCTTACAAGGGTGATATCAAAGGCGGAGGCATCGGGGCGTTGAACATGGCCTCCGCCGACATGAATACACTGGTTCACATTTCGACCTGCGAAAAGCATGTCAGAGGATGGAGAGATGACTTCAACCGAAAGACACCTACCACGAGGGAGCTGCATCGACAACCAGTCGGGCTGAATATCGTGCGACCTGATTAGGTTGACGAGAACACCAACATCCATACGGCTGGCCTTGATGATTTCGGCAAGAACGAAGCGCTATAGCCGAGACAAATAAGCAGCGGCGTCATGATGCGCGGGGGGAAACGCCAGAGGGAGGGCGAGGGGGAGGGGGGCTCAAGCTTCAAGGTTCAAGGGGGATGGGAAGGTTGGGGAGAGTTGGCGCATAACCTTACCTTTTCGTCGTCAGTAAAGGAGGAGTCCATGATTAGGCCCTAACCCAGCTATCCGATTCCGTCAAAGAAAAGAAGGCGAAGGAGGGAAGAAATATGCCATAGGCTGGGTGGCCAGTCATTTGACAGGCGCAATATGACAGCTCACCCCCGGGGAAACTGGAGCTGCTCGTGATCAGTTGAGAGTGGCCTGGTACAGGTCGCAGCAGCAGACAGTAGCAAGCAGCAGTAGCAAGCAGAAGTGGCAAAGCGTCTTGTTTGGAAGAAACACAGCGCGCCCCCAGTGACGGATGATGAATGGTGAGCGATGAGTGATGAGTGATGAGGTGTCAATAAGAGGAATCATAAACGAAAGAACAAGAAGAAACGATTTAAACGAGTGTTTGAATCCGTATCCGCAGTTGAATATGGAGACAGGACAGTCAGGACAGTCAGCGCAGAGGTGCCGCCGAGCACCAAGAAGACATCGGGGCAACTTCAAGACGCTCACAAGCCAGAAAGTCGAATGGTGCAGAGGGTAGCTTGCGGGTTTTGGGGGGGGGGTCGATCTGCCTCAACAGT